GAGGTTAGTGTATAGTATCATGCCTCCAAACTCCTATTCATTCGTGGTCTAAATAGTAAAACTCAACAAGCGTATGGTAGTGTGAACACATGCATATGGCGTTTGCTAGCCTGAACCATATATATATGCCTTCGTTCGCACTAGGATTGTTTGTTTGGTTTTGGTTTTAGTCGAAATAAAACCGATTAAAAGTCTAATGATTTTGGTGTTTAGTTTTGAAACCGTTTAATATTTAATGGTTTTGGTTCTTGATTTTGGTTAAAACCAAAAAACCAATAAGAAATTAATAAAGAGCATAACTAGGTCAATAGCCAATTTACCCGTTAACATGTGTTGTCACTTAACTCTTACAATTCTTTATTTAGGACTCGATGCTCCCGTCAGTAAGAGAAAGTGTCGACGATGGCGAATGTAGAATTAGTGAAGAGATAGAATAGTTGGTTGGGTTGATGGAGGAAGCATAAACAAGGTCCGACTCCGACCGTTGGAGTGTCTGAAATGGTAAGGGACTTTGTTGATGATAAAAACCTAAAATTAGGGTTCTATCGGATGCTAGGGAATTGTGGGAAAGAAGCAATTACCAAGGAGGTAATTGCCTTTGCCGTGGGATTAAGAAGTAAAAGAAGGGAGTTTGGGAATTGTTGGAGGAAGAGAGGTGACACGCTAAAACACAACACCAAACTGTGACCAAGTGCAATCGCAGTCTGGAAATGCAGTAAGTGGCAAGCTCTATTTGTTAACCCGGGGCCTAGATCTACTGCCTACTCCGTGAGTATTTATTATCTAGCAAACTAAGTCGAGTGATTGTGGTTTGAACTAAAAGCAGTAAGAAAGCAGGAAATGGTTCAAAGTTCTTTAGCAAGGGAAGAGTCACTCGGGAATGAGTCCCCCTAGCTCCTTAGTTAGGTCGAGGTTGTAATTACCCTGGGTTGATTAACTATTGATTAAACTGCGGAAGGTTCGACAGTAGCTTGGAATCTCTTAAGCTGATCAAGCCCTCTCAGTCCAACTACCCGCCAGACGACTAGTCTTCACCAGGATAGAAAGCTGAGGCTATGAACACAGAACTCCACTACTGGAATTGGATTCCAGTACAAAGCAGTAAATCGATTAACTCTCGTATAATCAATCTACCACTACCGATCGATGAAGCTCTAACAACCTAATCAGATTCTATCTATCTCAGGTTGCAGCAGAAATCAAGAAAAGATGATCAGACTTCAATTGACTCAATGAATTATGCATCAATCGATTAAAATCAATCAGTATAACAATCCCAAGTCATTACAATCAAGATCCCTAACACATGGACCTAGGGTTCTTCATACCCAAGTGAGAGAGGGTTCTACTCCATGGAGAGAGAGAGAGAGAGGAAAACATAAATCATAGTAGTCATACTCATAAAGATGAGGATAATATGCTCTGGTGTGTCGATCTTCACTCCTGGGAATGCAATATGGGCTTCAATGGTGAGAAATCAACTCCAAATAGCTCCTAGGGTTTGTTCTTCGCACTTTCTCTCTCTAAAACTCTGTTTTTTGCTTAAAAACTCGATTCCCTCCCCTTTGGCTCGAAATTGGGTTAAAACCCAGAATTTCTCGACTACACGGCCAGGCCGCATGGCGGTGTGGCTTTCCAGTCTGCCCGTGTGGATGTCAAAACGCGGCGTTTAACTTAGTGGTCTTCAAGCACGCTGCACGTCCAGAAACATACGGCCGTGTGGATTTCCATGCTGGTCGTGTGAGCTCCCTGGACTTTCCACACGGCCACAAGGGGTCCAATACACGGCCAGTGCGATTTTCCCGTGCAAAGTGGTGCCACACGGCCGTGTGGAATTTTAGGCGTGCCCGTGTGGCTTCCTCAGCTTCTCGCCAAACGTCCAATCTTCGTCCAATCGACCCCAAACTCGTTCCCAAACCTTCATTCACGTACTAGGATATGAAATATCACAAACAAGAACAACCTAGCATGAAATTGGCCTAAAACACAAGAAATAAGACTCAAACGGTACAAGAATGGTGGACAAAAACATGTGTGTATATCAAGTCATCAAATTGCCCCACACTTAACCGTTTGCTTGTCCCCAAGCAAACCAAGTCAGATACAAGGTAAGCTCAACATATTTCAATCATACCAACATTGGGGACAAATCATATAGGCACAAAATACGTGAATCATACTGGCTTTTGATCATTGCGAAATGGACAACTCAACAGCAACCTAGACAACCACCACAGAGGACATTCGAGTGTAGCAAAATCGAGTAAAGGAGGAGTCTCCCTTCTGTTCATCAAACAACATAGACTTGACTCAACCACTTATTCAAGACAGTCACCTCATGCACAAAACTCAAGATATCAGAATTGAGACCGAGCAATCTAGGTCCTCATCGGGGTAAAGAGTATAGAGAATATGAGAAAATGAATCGCTCACTGTCGACCAGTAGGGTCCAGACAATTTGATGCGAAAAATGCGCATGCTTATTCTCTCAATCCCTAATGTATCTTCACCATGAAGGAAGCCTCTAAATGTTAGAGTTCTCATATTGGGTGTCACCACTAACTAATCCAGAGGTCTTAAACACAGGTTCAGATGACTGGCTAGGGTCTTGGACATGGGGAAAAGGCCTTTTAGGTGGTGGAAGTATTCATAGCACAAGCTTCCACAGTTCCAAACCCAACACAATCACAGTCAATCAAACCACTTACTTTCTTTCTGCCATTCTGCATTACTCGAGTTCTTTAGAGCACAAGGGCGCACAATAATGTTAGTGTTTCTCAGCCGGACTGCTAAGAAACACTACTTAATGGGCACTATTCAGATTTTTAGTGGTGGCTCTCTTTTGCTTTCATTCATTTTTTTTTTCTTTTTTAATTTCATTTCTTGAGAAAACCACCACCTCTACACATTTTTCAAACACATGCCCAATTTTTAAGCATTACCTCCAACCCTCACATTATATTTAGCAGAAACAGAGAAGAACATGCAAAAACCACTCTGTGGAACCTTCTAAGAGATGCAAAAGGGTTCCCAAACCTTCATTCACGTACTAGGATCTAAAATATCACAAACAATAACAACCTAGCGTGAAATCGGCCTAAAACACGAGAAATAAGACTCAAACGGTTCAAGAATGGTGGACAAAACATGTGTATATATCAAGTCATCAAGAGGAGACGTGCTGTGGCAGCAGCAGTAGGGCAGAAGGGAAGGGTCTCGAGTGTAGGGAGAAGGAGAGGAGAGATTAGGAAAACTATTTAGGGTTTAATCTTGCTTAGTGGCTTCATCCCACTTACAAGAATATATATATATATAAATGGATAATTTCCTAATACTATGCCAAATTATTAAATACCCGCAAATGACCTACAATAAATCCCAATAAGTCATAAGAACAATAAACCGACAAAGACAATCCGAATAATCAAACTGCAAAAAATGCGGGTTTCTATCATCCCTGCCTCCTTGAGAACAACCTTGCGCTCAAGGTTGACTCTTGCTCACTAGTTCTCCTCATTGGCATCCGTCGCCTCCTCCTCTTCTTTGTCTTCCCAGCGGCCCATAAGCATCATCAAATCCAGCTTTGTGCACTAGTGACCAACGGTGAACCGCTCGTTGAAGTTGAAGCACTTGCCCTCCCCCCTCTTCTACTCAATCTCTACAGGTGACAGCCTGACGAAGTCCTTTGGTGGCGCTCGAGGAATGGGTCTGGGCCTGCAGTAAATGGTGCGGCAGCCCTGCGGCTCTTGTGCTCGCTCCGGCAAGCGCGCTTCCACCTCCTCCGCCCTTCGCGTTGATGCTTCCTCCTCCACTGGGCCTCTAGTAGCGGCCGATTGTGCTTCTCCAGCTCGCGAGCTCCTTCTTCTTATGACCTGCAAGACAAAAAATAGTCCTTACAGAATTACGCTCAAACACCCTGAGTTCCGCAACAATCTCTTGCTTTAGGCCAGCCAAGCACAACCCCACTAGTATCTCCTCTGGCACTCCTTTGCATTGATTCCCCAGCTTGAGGAACTCCGACCTGTACTCCGCCACTATTGTCGTCTGTTTTAGCTTGGCCAAGTGCTCAAGAGCCCACCCGTCTTATTTTCCAAACTGATACCTAAGCTACTCCTAGAATATGGGCCATGTGATCAATGTCTCGGCGGCGGCATAAGATCGCTCCAACCATTCCCACCAGTGCAGAGCATCTCCCTCCAAATAGAAGGATGTTAGATGCGCCTTCCTTTCTCTCGAGTTGGGTGATTCTTGAACCACCTGTCAGTTGTATACAATCACAATCATGCGTCCTCTTTCCCATTGAATCGTGGGAACTCAATGGTTGGAGGTTTAGCTCTGAATACTAAATCATCATCCCCATCATTAAACCGACCATATCCCCCATACCTGTCACCCCGCGGATATCCTGGCTCCCGATATTGGAACTCCGCGCCTTACTCGCTACCTGGATGGCTCGCATACAACCTCCTTTGATCCTGAGGTCCTTGCCCGACCTCCCTCCTCTGATCTGGATAACTCCCCGCCGCCCGAGGCTTACCGGGCGGAAGGTGAAAAACCCCTAGCTCTCCTGTCGACCCCTGCCATCTTGAGTTGACCCTGCTGTCCCCTCCGGTCTGCTGCTGGAATTCTTGGTTCGGTTCGACTCAAGTTCGATCGGAATTGGTCCAACCGGCCTGACCCAACGAGGTCCACCCGATTTGGCCGGTTCGGTTCGACCCAACACCAGTTGGTCATTCGACTTCTCTTGGTTGACCCAGCGGTTCCATGTGTGGGTCGGCCCACTCACTCGGACGTCCCACCAAGCTCAGCTCATCAACTTCCTAGGTCAGGTCCAGGCCCAACCATCCTAGCCCATTGGGCTCTCTGACGCGTCCGTCCGCTTCCGCTAGATTCATTGGGCCTAGCAACCCAAAGTCCAGACCCGGGCCCACATTGTCGTAGCCCGACAATTTGGATTTGCCCTTTCGGGCTGCGATGTCTTGGGTCGTAGGTGTCGGTAACTACTCGGGGTCGTCTCTTGCCCCAAACGGGACTTGGCCCACATGCCCCACATCCTCCTTCCCTAGGTCAGCTGTCGTCACCACCGCGAACTCGAGCCCCATCTTAGCCTTGATTCTCTGTTGCCTCCCCCGCGTTACCTCGAGGTCCTTCGTCAACCTGGCTATGGCCTGGAGGATTTCCTCCTTGTCTTCTTGACGTCTCTTCTCCGCGTGTTCCCGATCAGTCATCAGTTCCTTCACAGCAACTTGGAGTTCGTCGACCCCGGTTTCGTCCACCATCGTAACTGTCTCTAGTATCCGGACAACCTGTGGAGATGGGTTCTTCAACGACGTGGACCTGGGTGGGGCAGCCGCCACGGTTGAGGCCTTGCCGCCATCGCCTTGCCCCGTCGCTGCGGTGGTCGCGACTACCTTTTCTCTGGCAGCCTCCTCGACAACCTTCTCCGCAGCTTTTTGTGATTTGGTTACTGCCATTGCTCGTGACCGGTGCACCTTGGTTATTTAATTGGATCAGAACGGGGCTCTGATACCAGATGATAGAAACCTAAAATTAGGATTCTATCGGATGCTAGGGAATTGGGGGAAAGAAGCAATTATCAAGGAGGTAATTGCCTTTGTCGTGGATGAAGAAGTAAAAGAAGTGAGTTTGGGAATTGTTGGAGGAAGAGAGGAGAGGTGCTGAGGCAGCAGTAGTAGGGCAGAAGGGAAGGGTCTCGGCAGTAGGGAGAAGGAGAGGAGATATTAGGAAAACTATTTAGGGTTTAATCTTGCTTAGTGGCTTAATCCCACTTACAAGAATATATATATATATATATATATATATATATATATATATATATAAATGGATAATTTCCTTATGCGACCCCAAATTATTAAATACCCGCAAATGACCGACAATAAATCACAATAAGTCATAAGAACAATAAACCGACAAAGACAATCCGAATAATCAAACTACAGAAAATGAGGGTTTCTATCAGTTGATTTGGGAGATCTTGAACTTCGCGAGGGAGGATATTTATTGGTGAACAACGACGACGAAACACATGCTGAGTTACAGTTTCACAGAATCGATAGAGCTCAGCTACATTTAAGGCAATTGGAAAGACTATAGGGATAAGATGTGGGATTTTTTTATGAGGAACAAGTATCGCTAAACGAGATGTGGTGACTGGTAAGGGGTTGTGTGGACAAGGCAAGCTTTTGATTAAAAAAGTAGGGTAGTTATTTAGACTAATAAGTAATAAGTACATGTATTTTATTTCTGTATTTAGTTATATTTGTTCTTTACTTTGGTCATTGAAGTTGGCTATTCCTTTTTTATGTTTATGTATCTTGTGAATTTGATTTTTTCTATAAGGTATGACAATATTTATTAAAAAAATATGGTATTTTATAAAAAAAATTAATTAAAATATTTTTTTGTAAACACATACTCTCACTCCTGCTCGTTGAATCAGAACGTAATTTGTCACTAAATTATTCCTACCAGACCTTTTTCTATTTTCATACTTTTTGTTCTCTTTTCTTACACCATTTTTGGACTTCTCAAATTGTGAGTTACATTTTTTGGTTTATCTAAACTATATCAAAATTCAAAACCATTAAGGACCTTATCGATGATTGATTAACCAAAACCTGATTAGACTCTTAACGGTTTGGGTTTTGATTTTTCAGAATTTGGTTGATTTTGTTTTGATTGTTCATACTTAATTTTTTTGGTTAGCCAAACCAAATCAAATTGACAACCCTAATGCAATCACCTCCATGAGAAGCCTCAATTCATAGTTTGGATCTGGTTGTGGAGTGTAGCATGGCTGTGCAGAATGGCCTGTGAAGGCCACCATGGGTAACTCCAGCTCCGATGGCCCTTCTCGTTGTGGGAGAAATTCTTCTTGATAAGGAGGTTGTTCTTGATATGCCCAGGGGTCTGATTGTTCTCCGTAGTAAGGGGGTTGGTACTGGAACCCGAATCCATAGTCTTCTCCTCCTTTATTTCTCCAGGGAGTCTCGGGGTAATACCACTCAGATGGTGGTGGATACCTCCGATGGTTGGAGAAGCCATGAGGATCCATGATTCAGATCTGCACCAACAAAAACAAAAAAAAACCCAAGTGAAAAGCAAGGGTGGAAAAGAAAAACGCTAAAATAACAAACTTCTGCCTTTCCTAATAATCTAGAAAGTCCCAGCAACGGCGCCAAAAACTTGACTCTCTATGACACAACTCCTAACAATGGCCAAGTGTAACCAATGAAAGGGACTGCAGTATAGGGGCTCAAGTAATAAATATTGAATCCACGGGTCTCTAGAGTTACTATTACTCAGCTTCAGTTCATTATCTAGCAAACCAGATTAAGATGGAAGAACTAAAACTACTCTAACAAACTACAGTTAAAGTTAATCTAATTACAGGTTGGGAACTCACTTAGGTATGATTCCCCCTAGCCACTAGCCAGATTAATGATTGATGATCTCTAACTTGTTTCACTTTCATTCACAATGCGGAGAATCCTCGACTAGACCTTGAATCTCGACTAAAGGATCAAGGCCCTCTTGAGTCGATTGCCTAAAGGGACGTATCCTTCTCTAGAACAACCGATCAAGGCGTTCTGAACTAGACTCCCTCTAACGAATGAGGTTCTCAATCGATACAAAGCAGTGAATCAACCCTCGACTAAAGCAATCGGTCCAATACTATCAATCTATGGTGATCTATTGACATAATCAGGTATTCGCTCTCATAGGATCAAAGCAGAATCATTAATCTCGACTAAAGCAGAATTGAATCATGAAAACGTGCATAGATTGAATATGAACTAAAGATTATCAAGTAAGAGTACTCATACACAATACACAATGAACTAAAGATTATCAAGTAAGAGTACTCATACACAATGTAGTCAAGAGTACCCCAAACCTTCATTCACGTACTAGGACCTGAAATATCACAAACAAGAACAACCTAGCGTGAAATCTGCCTAAAACACGAGAATCAACATCTCAAACGGCTCAAGAATAGGGGTAAAAACATGTGCAATCAATGGTCTATCATTTATGCTTCTTGATATTAGGGATGACAATCAGACTGATAGAAACCTTTGTCTAGGGATCTATCGATCGAGTTGGGAAATTGGAAATTGATGGATATTTGGGAATTTAGCAGAGATTAGGGATAGAGATTGAGAATTTGGAGAAGAACAGAAAGAATGACCGACGGCCAAGGTAGAGTAGAAGACGAGATTGAGAGAGGTAGGGTTTAGGGAGAGATAATTTTTTTAATTGATTATTCGTTGATTGAACAGATGAATAACAATGTACATATATAGGAAAAGAACGGGAAAACTTTTTATAGGGGTGTCCTCGTCCAAAAATTAAAGTAAATTCAAATTAAATAATTAATAAATAAGAAAATATTCGACTAATAAAAAATTTAAAAAAGATCACGACGTGTTTTTAGATTATAAAAAAGAATATAAAATAGACTCGGTTTCTACAATGCTCAATAAATCTGTATATCATACAAGACAAATTCACGAATTGAACGCATATTTGATTTTTAACTTTGTTTTTTATGTAACTCAAAGTTGAAAAGACTCTTTCAATACTTGTCGTGTAACCATGAAATCAAATCAAATTAAGGGTAGCACGTAATTAGTTTAATTGTTAGGCTTTCGAAATAGTTTGGGATAAGGAATAACATTTTTACTATTACATAGTGTTTAAAATGGAACAACAAATGATTTGCAACCTAGTTGAGAATACGTCTGATAATAGTGAATCCTAGTTTTGAATAACACAAACTACCACTTATGTTTTTTAATCATATGCAAACTACATGAATATGATAATCATTTTTTCAAATTTCAGTGGTATCCCAGAAAACTAATTATATTTTTTTTATCCATACAAAATTACTATCTAATATTGAATAATCATTTTCCTATATTTTAGGGGTGTCCCGGGGCACCTAAAAAGTCCCATGTATCCGCCCCTGGTAGGAGTTGATGCATTCTTTGGTCGCCAGAGTTGTCGTCGACGTCAGGATTGGTATGATTCCTTAAGAGACGACGGACTAATGGAGAACCGATACCAAGTGTTGCCCGCCAAGCCGTGGAGTCATAGCTTTGGCTAGCGGCACAGTGGGGTCATCCGGGAAGGTGTTGGGATTTGAAAGGTGTGAATGAGAATGAATAGGGGAAGAAGCCAATAGTTGGTGAGTTATTGGTTAAACCAAGTTGAACCAAATCGGATCGGACCGATGTGGCGGTTGGAATGAACCAACCGGTCCAACTACTATGGCGAACCGATGCAATGGTTGGGGTGTAACCACCCACTTGAAGGGTCACATCCCTTCACTGAACCATTGCAATGGTTGGGGTGTAACCACCCACTTGAAGGGTCACATCCCTTCACTCGCACCCTTTCATTGTCTATAAATAAACACCTGCCCCCCTCTGTTTTCTAGACAAGTTAGTTTCCCAAGAAATTTTTCTGGCCAAAAGATAAAAGAATTTTTCATTCTTCATTGCATTTCCTCTCTACAAACTCATAAAGAAAAAACAGAGTCGTGTGAATTCTCTCCGATCGTTGCGTTCGTCGGATTCTGGTGTTTCAAGTACCGGTACAGCCAGAAAAGGTACGTCCGTTCTATCCTGGGAGGAATAGTTCCAATAACCTTGGGTACCGTAGAGGGGAACTAAATTCCTTAAGGAGAAATAGTGAATTCTATTGGCTCGGGTGTTGTTTATACATGTGTCGATTTCTATATATGTCTTGTCTGACAAGAAACATTCTTTTGTGAAACGTTTTTTTTCCATAACAATCTTAAGGAATTTACTTTGTGTTTTCATTTACGTGTAGTATTTCTTCCCATAGTTGACTTATATGAATCTGTTGTTTGGTCCAATCTGCCGATTAAGTGTTGATATTCTGTGAAATTAGTTTCTTTGCATGCATATTTTGCTCTCGGCCGTCAGTAGAAAGAAACTTCAATCAATCGGATCCTGTATGCTTAGTTTGCATATAATTATTGTTGGTAGGGAATTGTTCTGATCTTCATGTATATATATAAATAGGGTATATATATATATATATATATATATATATATATATATGTTCTGGTTTTGTACGTACTTATTATATAAACTACTTGGTTCTGTTTATTCTGGGTCAGTAAATTGTGTAAGCATGATCAATTAATCAATTTCATGTAGGTCTCCGTTAATATATGTTTGTATTCGAGTCTCGGTTCTGTACTTAATTAATCAAATTGTTTGTTAATTGTCTCCATACTTCACTGAACTTTCTGGTTCAGGTATATATATATATATCTACTCTTGTTTATATACTGATTCTAAATAGTTCTGCCACTATATATATTGTGGATTCTTTCTTCTAATATAATTCTGTTGTGATATATATTGTGGTCATATATAATTATTCTTTCTTTGGAAAGAGTGTGATTTCCTACTGC